ATATACGCGAATTCTCTTTGAATAATATTCGTTGATGATGTTTGTCGGCTTGTACTGTGCTTTAAAGTGCACTCTTGAATACACAACCGTACATATACATAATGTATAACCGTTGCAATGTTGTTTTCTACCAAGTGAGGATACCAAGTGAGAGCTTTACGGACAAGTTCTGATGTTTTCTGATATCTCTTTATCTCTCTTTTTATGCTCGCTGACTCGTCGAGTACGATAACATAATGCAAAGTCGTTATATCGCAATACAGACTCGCTGTTGATCAACTGCGCCAGAATTGCCAAGTTAAAGTGGCGGAAATTGAAAAATAAAGAGGTAAATCCTGCTCCTCCCCCTCGTTTCGCTTTACTGTCGAGTGAAGTAACGAGGGAAGAGGCGCGCTAAAGTAGAACCGGTAATGAAGTCTGAAACCTGCACGCGACGAGCATGAATTGTGACTTCGTCCTAATAAAATTTCGAAAATCAAGATCGACTTAAATCTCTCAATCGCTCGTTCCTTTCCAGATCCGAAACTATATATGTGTGTAAATCGATTACGGCATTTTTGACAGTTCGCCAACAGAGATTTAATCTGAAATTGCCTCATTACACGGCATAACACAGACGTGTTCTCTTAATTTCCAAGAATATGCTCGATGAAATCTCTTGATTTTATTCTCAGCAATAATTTAATTCGAGACATTTTTTTCTATGGAAACATACCTGCGCGAAATGAATTAAAGAACGATTCGAAGAATATGTACGAGATATGTAATCGGCTGTCAAATATTTACGTATAAATATCTGTTGGGACGATAATGATTTTCTTAACGCGACGTTTCGTTATTTATCCTTGATGAGACATTTGATATACAAGATTTGCGTAGACTCGCGGCTTTATCGAAGCGCGAGGAGTCGGGATCGCGATTCCGCGAGTGAAAGAGGACGAGAGGAGCATTTCCAGGAGGCCTATTACGACGGATAATTTACGCGGGCCGTACCCGCGGCAGTTTCCCCGTAAGAATTTACGGCGACAGCACCGCTCGACGCGACACTCACCAGGTGTAAATTCGATTACGATACTACTCTCCTTCCCGCGCGTCAATATTTCACTCAGTCGCGAACAGAGTAGGTGGTGCGGTTTTGCTATGTAATCTACGCGAGCGAATTATGCGCGTCGCGTAGGCGGCGAAATTTCTCTATGCGTCTCGTAAAGAAGCACGAACGCGACCGTCGGACTCGATAATTTCACCCCGATATGTAAACTAGTTAGTTCGCGAAAGTTTCGACTGTATAGGATGCCTCGGTACTTAGCGAAAAGCGAACATCATCTCACACTCGAAACCCTATTAATTTATCAATTATAAAGTGCTGAAAATGAGGAATTCCTCGTGGATTTATAAATGAATTAATTTTGACAAAATTGTTTTTTATTTTATTAATCTCAGTATACCTATCTTAAGATGGAACAGAAAATTTTCTTATTATACATTTTCGTATCTGTATAATTTTTAATCCACAGATTGTTGAAAAAATTGAAAATCTATAAAATTATTTTCGCGCAATGATTGCGATATCTAATAATAATTAGTGCTGCAGATTCGCGAGGCTATAATCTGTTTTCAGATGCGAGCTCGATCGCGATTTTCCGATACATTCTTAGACGCGTCGATACTTCACTCATGTTCGAAATGCAGAGAACGTCGAGACGTAGTAATCTATGCCCTGCATATGGAGTACGAGTGTGGGTAGAAACGCATGCATTCGATGCAATGAGAGAAGAACTCGAGAGAAACGACAATTACGAGTGCCTTTTTCGTTTTACATACGTCAGTTTTTCGTCTGAAAAAATTCTCGATCTGTCGCAAACGCGAGACGTTAACGTGGTTTTGCAAATTAAAAATCAGCATCTTATCTACATCGTTATAGCAATAATGCAGATATGTATTGCCAAGTGAAAACCTGATTTTCGTCATGACACATGTGATATATGACCGATATTCGGAGGAATAATTTTAGAATAGTTAGTTTCAGAAAATTAATTACATATATAATATTATAATTTATATGAAGAATTTCTTTAGTCAGCTTCATTGGATCTGCTATTTCAAATTATACATTTTTACCCGAAAGCTGTAATCAGTGATATAAGAAAGCAATTTGCATGCAAATTGAACCAGTTTTAAGGCGGAAAAAGAAGCCATTTTTCTACATAAGATCGCAAGATATTACAATGTCTTGAAGACAGTATCCCTATCAGGGACAATACTAAATTAGGAAATTAAGTTTTCTCGTTAAAGCTTCACGACAGTAACCACATATATTATGCATTGGCGGCATTCAGCACTTTTCCCCATCCTCCAAAATATTTATAGCATTTTATGTGCATCAATATTAATAAATTTTAATAATCAAGTTTATACTCTGTATAGACTTTATGCGATTTTTATATGAAATCTCACGAGCGAGTCTATCACGATGCATCGCTGTCTGAGAAAAAAAATTCACTCACGCGACTACGATGAAAATCGCCGTGAAAATCGCACGTCGTATATACGCGAGTGAAAATGCGGAGTAAACGGGCGAACCGCAAGCGAGGGTAGTTTTAATCAAGCCATTAGGGGTGGCTGAGAGGCTGCGACCGAGCGACTAGACGTACCGACCCTTCTTCTCCCGTTCGCTCTCTGTGTCTGTTCTGCCTGCTGCTAAATTAATATAGCACACGCATTCCGTTTTATTACACAGCGACGAAGCTCGTATTCAGATCGACTTCCTTCCAGCCTGACTTCCGTTAAATTTGCGGAAATATCATCTCTTGTTGTGCGTCTAAACTGTGCACGAATAGACAATATTTTGTTTGGCGCGAAATTGGAGACATTCTTTATATATACATTTCTTCATTTTTCAGAATTAAAAGCTTAGCTGCTGCATTGCAATTTCTCATTTTTACGTATTAATATACGTGATATATAAGTAATATTGTATATATATATATATATAATGATGTAAAGAGAATTTGAATCGTGAAAAAGTAAAGGATTAATTTATTTTATAAATAAATTTTATTCATTTTATAAATATATATATATATATATATATATATAATGATGTAAAGAGAATTTGAATCGTGAAAAAGTAAAGGGTTAATTTATTTTATAAATAACAAATAATAAATTAAAAATTGCTGAAAAATTATAAATTGTTCATCTGGTTGCTCCGCCGTTGCCCGATCCTTTCCAGTCTTCTCTCTTGTTTGTCTTTAGCTGCTCTTTCATGAATGACACTCACGAGAACATGTTAATTACTATCGCGCGCGCACACTAATTATCAGAATACGACGATCGCGAGGCACTTTATAAAGCATTCCCAGCATTAATCGCATACGACATGCGCTTTATTTTACATCTTGACGAGAAAACGCTTTACACGAAATTACGACCCGCTGAAAAATTACGTGGAATTGAATTCGTGCATGTTATATTTCTATTATCTATATATCATATTATCGATTATTCACATAAATAAATAATTATTAATTGTAAAGAAGGATTGCGTTTGATCTCTAGTACTTGTCGCAATCATACTTTTCTTTATCGCAATTATTTTCTTGTCAGTTGCTAGGGAGATCGAAGCACGATTTGTATGATTTATTAAGACGCGATATCTTAATTAAGCGCACATAAAATATATATTAATTTTAAAGATAACATTGCGCGAATTTGGCGACACGATTTTTCAACGCTGAATATTGTAATTCGTGTAACGTGATTTCTGTCATTATGTCAATGTAATGTAATGAGAGTACTTTACAAAATGCTGCATCATATTTTAAAAATTAGTATACACGTAATCGTAATTAAGTTTTCGCAAATGAGTGTCATGAAGCAGCAGCATAAAATAAAAGGAGGAGGAAGCCTGGGAAAGCATCGGCGAAGTAACCATGAAGTTAGTTACTTATAATTTTGTTGATTTATTATTCGTTATTTATCAAATGAATTACTCACTTAGCAATGAAATTTCTTTATCAATAAAAATGTTTTCTCAAGTAAATATTTTATAGTGTGTGATAAGATTGAGATTTTCTTCAATATTTCGATAATGTTATCTCCTATACAATAAAAAGGCCTTGCAATATTGTGAAATTACTTGAAAGATCATTACGCTTTCGTACTCATCTCACACTTATAAGCGTTAAGTGTATGCAGCTGTTTGACTCTCGTCTCGTGTTCATATTGAATCTCCGTACAAGACAAATGTAACTCAGAATCCAACGGGTACATTTAGTGCTGAATACGTGACATCAGAATACCGACCTATGCTAACATTGCTTGTCTCTCAAGATGTTGTTCCTCTCTCTCTTTTCCCTCATCAATTCATTCCATCTCCTTACATTCCATTTGCCAGCGATTTTTATGTCTCCCAGTGTGTCACCAGCGGAGACTTCGACGCGGCGTCGTAACATAACGTTCGGAATGTCAAGTAGTTCGAAGGATAGTTAACGCAAGCAGGCGGAATATTGTCGTGCATTAAAAGTGCATATACATATATGCTGAACGAATAAACAACGAGCAATTATGGAAATTAAAGTTTGGAAGATACGCGCGTAGACATTAGAGTTTTGGCACATTTTAGTACTGCTTTTCGACAAAAAATTCTCTATTCTACTCAGAAATCATATTTTGTAAGAAATAATAGAAAAAATTGGTTCGAAAAATTTCTTCCGTGAAAAAATATTTTTTTTACAAAATTCTACATTATGCAATCTCTCTCTAGTTAAATTTAATTAATAACTATTAAAATAAAAAATATTACGCAATCAGATTAAACACGCAAACGATGAACATCTAATCTAGCCTAATCTGGTCAAATGCGAATGTCAATAAACGAGCGGAAACGAAGTAAACAATGGACACGAATACGAACGTCTGAAGATTCGCGTTCGCTGTTCGCTTCGTTGTTCATTTGCTCAGTGTATACGCACCTTTAAGTTTACTTTGCACTTACTTACCAGTTCGTCCGTCGTATCCGCGCTCGTCGTCGTCGTCCTCGTGTTCACTGCTCTCTTCTCCGGCCGTGCCCTGCGTTTGCACGACCCTGGGTATCTCTGCAAGAATGCGAGATAAATGAAGGATATGCGAGAGTAAAAAAAGTTGAGTTAATTTCGCGCTCTTTCTTCCGCAGAGAAATTGTGCAAAAAAATCTACTTTTAAGGTTTTTGAACGGGTAAATTTAAAACAAGCCAAAAAATTGAAAATTGTCATAAGAATATATCATCTTTCTACCTATTTCTATATGCATTTTTCAAAAGAAAAGTGTATGTGTTCGTTATTCTATATTTGTTATTTAATTCACGGCAATTGTCATTTTTTTTCGAACGTCGCATTAATCCTGCCTTTTATGTATAATAAAATTTGCAAAACCGGGGTATACAGAAGCGGGCAACGATGCAAGCTTTCGTGACACAAACTTTTATTCCTGATTGAAACTCGAATCGAAACTACAAAACCGCGACGGAGGATGGGTTAGAGACCGGTGCTTTCGCACACGTTTTCGCAAATTTCACCTAATTGGACAAGCACGAGGAGATCGTCGCGTGTCTCTCGCAATCGATCGATCGATCACTCTAAAGGGTATGGTGGAACGGTGTATTTTTTTAGTCGATTTCTTTTCGCCACCCTGGTAGCAGGCTGAAAAGATCAATCGCGAAATCAATTTTTTCCATTCTCTTTCTGATTAAACAATTTTTTGTGCTTTTTAGAATCGCGGTTTTTTTCATTTTATTTCGAATTCTTTCGTATCAATTTATCAATTTTAAACCCTCAAGTATTATTAAAAAAAAAAATTGTAAAAGAATTCAGATACTATTTCGGAGAAATAGTAAGAAATCTGCTTTCGCACATCTAAAACGTTTTCTTTAAATAATTTCTGAAAATTCATCTAAATTTATCGCATATCCTCATCTCTTGCCGCGAGATACAGAATTCTTGTATTCTCTATTTCTAAGTATCATCTTTCTCGTTGTGTCGACGACTTCTTGGCAATTCGCATAAAACGAGCTTGTGGCCCGAGGAGGGCAACGCGAGCGCCGGAGGAAACGAAATCGAAATAAAAGATAAATGCGGCAATGAAACCCGGGTATCAAGCATGGTGAATGCGCGCGTAGGCGTGTACTTACTGATGCAAGGCGCAATATGCGATCTGCTCTGCTGGTAGCCCCTGGCGCATCTGTTGCAAGTAATACCGGTTACACCGTCTTTACAAGGACACTGGCCGCTGCTCTGGTTACAGGTCTTTCCAGAAGCTCCGATCGGGTGGCAGTCACATGCTACAACAAGATAAACAGGCTAGTTAGCGAAGGGTGAATTTATTCAAATACATTTTTGAGAACAAAATTCAGAGTGAATGTACTTCAAAAAATATATATTCTTCGATTTTATTTTTGTTTTAATTTTATTCTTTTGTACATGTACATTCATTTTCTTGTATAATATATATATTATTCACACTTCTTCGTAGCTTAACTTTTATTATATGATTAGAAAGAATTTATATAGTGATACGTTGTATAGGGTCGCTCAATAGAATGATTAATTATCGAAAATTTGATGGAGTCGGAACCGGGCAGAAAGAGTGCTTTAATCAAGTTGACTGTCAGATCCATTCGCGTCAATTCGTCCGCATTAGCGCCTAGTGTTCGAGTTTACAGTCGACTACATATCTCGTTATGTTATTCTTCGAGATACGCTTGTTCTATTAAGAAACGACGCAGATAAGTGACCCGGAAAATGATGGAGGTAGTCGAACAGGCGTGACGATTCGCTACCTGAAATTAAGATAAAGCGTGGATTGGATTTGCATGACGCTTATAAAATAGCCTTGGTTATTGACAGCGCGCACGAAAGATCTTAAGCGGGATAAAAGCAATTTATCATGGATAAGATCGAGAGAAGCATATGTTGAAAACACGTATAATTGGAGTAAATTAAAAAATAAGCGAGATTTTCGAGTGTAATTAATTATAGAAATTTAATAAAGTATAACATTTATATTTTTTTATATTTAATAAAATATTAAATAAATTTGAAATAAATTTTTCAACAATAAAAATGTTAAGAAACTATAATAAAGTTTGAATTAAATATTACAAAAAATTAAAAATAAAATATATTTTTCAAACTAAATTTCAATATAAATTATATAAATTAATTTTATAGAATTCTTTTAATTCGAGATTTTTTTATTTATAATGTTGTGCAATGTTAAAAAATTGCATAAAATAATGCGTTAAAATTTTCTGTAAGGGAAACGAAATTATCAAAGAGTCTGTTTTACATTGAAAATTAATTTGAATCGAAGGGGAACATTCTGCACACATAATGTGTTATATATCGTACACAATAAAGGGGGTCTTAGCGTCGAGATGAATGCATTCCAGCCTTATCCTAATTTTATGCAGCTTGCGTAAGGGACGCGTATGCGAGGTATTAAAGGGCCCCTGCCTTATAGGAAGGGCTCGTAGGTCATTCCGAAAGATTTATGAAATCAATCAGGCGCGCCTCGACGAATAAATCGCTATCGAGGCATGCCTTAGAGAAAGCTTAAATTTTCCCTTGAGAATTCGTTGATGAGAAAGATTGAAAATGAAGAGAAGAAAGTTAATAAATATCCGCGCCACTATATGTTTTTAGTTTACATCAGACATTTTTTGCAGTGATATGAATAAACAGCATATTTATCTCTTCGAATAATCATTTCTTGATAAATGAGAACTGTCAATTTTTTCTACCATTTATATTAAACGCTTATCGAAAATTGAAGAGACAACGCTGAACGTGTTTAGTTATTATACTTTAGGCATAGCAGATAATATCCAGAAAATTGCAGAACAAAGGGGAAGTAATAAATAAAATTGATTTACTATTACTCTCTTACTGACGGTAACAGGTGTTGCATGAATATTGCTGTAATGACAGCTTCTCAATCTCCGTATGTATTTTTTGTGCGTCAATCATCATAAAACGCAAATAAATCGTGAGGATGGAAAACAACATAGAATCACCGCGCAAGTTATCATAATTATGCAAACATTAACATTCTGTCTCTCGAGGCTCGCGCGTCGCCGGTCACAATTTACTACCAATGATCGCAACAAAATTGCGCTCATCGTAAAATAATAACTCGACTGATTTACGATAGCCGCGTGTAATCAGTTGTATACCATGTGTATCCCTATCATAAATTGCGTCGCGTTGATAATGCAGGGCAATGAAAAACTTATGTCGCACATAAAGGGCTGAAATTAGAAGCGCGCAAAAATAAATTTCGCCGTTTAACGATGTGTCATATAACGATTAAAAAGAAAATATTTTGCCGAGGTTAACAAATATGTCAGAACGTCTATAGAGAAAAATATTTTAAAGTTCTCCCTCCTCTATAATAATGCATTATATATCTAAAAACATACATTTCTTAAATTTAAAAAGTCTGATTAATTTGTCAAATAGAATTGTAATTCCCGATACGCGATTGAGAGGTTTTAAATAATTATCTTACGCCGAGATTCGCCGATCAACGGGTATCAGTTAAACGAGATTGTAGTCTTATTATATTCTTCGGAGCTGATGAGTAGCCATGAAACAAAGTCGATTCTTACTTTATCCTTTCGCAACCGTCCCGTCGAGAGCTAATTGTATCGTGAGCGAGGCGACGTCTCGCTTATAAATATCCGTTCCCGGCATAAATTATCATCTGCTCTGCAGGGCGGTCCCCGAATATTAACGGGGAACACGATTCACATAATTCTTAATCGTCGACACTGTCGTCGGCTCGCATGTTGACGCGACTCGTCGGGGTCGTTCGTTATCGAACGAGTCAGTTGCTAAAGCATATGTTCCACGGGGCGCACAATGAAAATACAATTGTCCCACAAAAATTTTATTGTTACGATCGCGATATCTTTACGTGATTAATGTCGGGATAAATCGAACGTATCGATAACATATATTTTTGACTGATATCAATGAGCTCGTTTATTATTATTTCGATCAGATATCAAAGTGAATTTAAGAAAAAGAGATTTTACATTTATTTATTTAATAAATAATTATCTAATTAATTTATCGCATAAATCAATTGAATTCTATGCGTGTCGCGCGTCGTAAAAATTTCTTGCAATTTGGTCGCGGCTGATTTCCTCGTTATCATCCACCAGCATCATTTAGCACCATTTAAGTCAGATTGCGCGACGAATGGTTTAAATCAAGCGCGAACGTGCGCGCGAGCCAGTTCGATCGACGGTGCAGATTGCAATTCCACGGACGTGTGTCGCGCGAGAGAGGTCACGACGCACGTCTTATTGGTCACGCGGCATTTAGAAACGTCATAAACAGTGATTAGAGGCAGCCTCACGGGCGGCGCGTGGTTCAAGGATTTCTTGCGCCGACAACCGCCGGCGGCTGATATGAATTGCCGCTGTCTCTGACCGTCGTCGAGGAAACGACGTTCGACTTTCGACACCTAAATCGCCGTAACGGTTGTTTCGTACCGACGCGACCTGTCTCCGTGGACAAGGAGTCGTTTGTTCCCTCGTTACCGGCCCTTTCGTTATTTTAGCCATAAATTCGTTATGCAACTTTTCTTCTTGCTCGAGAGAAAGAGAGAACGTTGGATGCCGAAGATGAAAGTGGTGATCGCGTGTCACAACGTCGCGTGGAATTATTCCAGCTAGGATTCACAGGTATCGTTGAAATCAATCGGATTACTATTATTATGCGGTGCGCTAAAAAACTAGTTCGTCCAGGATAATTAGCCCTTTCCGTTTTTATCGCTATTTCAAAGTATGAGAGAAAGGTGGCTTAATATAGAACTTTGCAACTCCTAGCAATATTTAGCATAAAATACAAATTTTTGAGATAAAAAACTTAGTTGAGAATAACATTTTTGTGATATAGTTGAAAGTTACGTAACTACACATATAAAGTTATTACGACCATTTTTCAGTAAGTTAATATAAGGAATAACATATTCAACGTTCGCGATTTCTGTATTACAGAGAAAAATTTGAAGAACCTTTATCATTCTCAAAAATAAATATCCAATGACGGCAAAGATTACTTGAAAATTAAACGATTAAATATTTGTTTAAACGAAGCCATTTTTCTAGTAAATTTTTTCACTAATGCATTATCTTATGACGCAACGAAATGCTGCAACATACTATTGCATATGTATGTATATTCAAGAAGTATCTCCCGCACGCAAACTGGAAATTGCTAATGTTTTTATTTGGATTTAATATATATGTAAATAGCAACGCAAAAGAAATGTATAAAGAAAAATATAATATTGTTTAATATTCTGCGCAGAAAGAGAATATGCGAATATTATATTTGTCTTATTATTTTAAATGAAGATATTCAAGAAAATATTTGACAAAGCGGCCTTCCCGTAATTTTTGCGAAACAACTATTCAATAAAATCTATTTTTCACAATAGAACAACTCATCAAGTTATACTAATAAAAATTACAACATAAGAAGAATTAAAAGAAAACATATTTGTTCTTTTTTACATTTTACGTAACACATGTAAACCTTGCATTAAATACATCAACGGTATAACGATTACGATTCCTCTCGGCGACCCTTGACTGGCACGCAAATGTTGTCTTGTATCTCAGTCGCCATCTCTCTTGGCATACTTCTTCAGACTAAAACGTTAAGAAGCCAGTTTGTTTGTCTCCTATCTTTTGCTCATTGATGAGATCTAAACTGGAAAAGACGCGCTCGATCCCATGGTAAAATCCATTAAGCGAAGAGAGAGAGAGAGAGAGAAAGGAATGATGTTCGCACGTACAATACGTCCTCCCTATCTTTAAATAGCGTCGCTATTCTAGTAGTGCTACGTTACTAGATTACCAGGCAAATCGAAAACAGGAATTGTCGGATTATCGCACTCTGACGGTACAGAAGCCGAGAGCTGGGTTGCGTCATTTTAAACTTAACGCGAAACTTAATCCAGGATTAAGAAGCAGTCTATTCAAGGTAGTTTATCAACTTGAACCGTTTTCTCGTTAATTATTACGCCGCTGTAAGACTCTTACTTGTCTACTGTCAACACGTTTCGCTGCAAGTGACAATTTATAATTGTCAAATATAGGAAATTGTTGTATATAACATAAATCATTATTTGATTAGAGATTCTCTCTTGAAAAAATAACTTCAATGTCTTCGACACATTTTTCTGAAGCCGAGAAATAGTGTAACTGAAAGTTTACACGTGTAAAATAAACGAGCATACCGACGTGTCACTTATTATTGTCAGCTA